CCGGAGATCGGCTGAATGGATTCGAAAACGGTAAAACTCAACTGTTTAACTCTAGGGGAGTTGGAAAATGAGCCCCTTTTTTCAAAAATAGTGGAGTGTTCCTTTAAAACACGAACGTCAATGTCCAAAAACATTTCACAGGACTATGAACGTACCTAAAAGTGATGCACAGGCTTCATCTTGGGCTTTTTTCTTTTTCTTATCTCGGCGCCGGACTACTGATGTCTTTTCCCGGGCATATTTGTCCATCAGTTATGATCATTTGCAGTTAGCCGCAAACATGAGGCGGATGCGGGAACGGCGCGTCACGTGTGCTTCACCTGTCTACTGCGTTCACCGTCAAACGCATTTTTTATAATTATGTATATATGTTCATGTTTATATTTTTATTTACATATATGTATATGTTAATATTAACATAGAACAAAAGTTTTTTGTTCTGGGATGGTGCCCCCCTGGGAGTTGGTGCCCGACACAATCTGCGTACTCTACGTATAGGGAGCGGCGGTACTGCTGACATGATATAACCGCTAACACACCCTGAGCACATGTGAGTTAACGTATTCCTCTTATCGGCAAGACATATCGGCAAAATGTTTCATATCGGGCCGATGCCGATATGTACATTAAAAGCCATTATCGGCCGATTCCGATATCGGTCCGATAATATCGTGCATCCCTTTAGCATCCTAACGCCCGGCCGAGGTGTGTTACCTGGGCGAATATGCCCTCCGATAGGCCCGGAAAGGTGGGGTGGCGGGGCTGGGGTGGGGAGGAGGGAGGTTAGAAGAAGGCTTTGAGCTCCAGCCCCACAAACGACTGAGCCGAGAGGAAGAGGAGAAAGAAGAGAGAGCAGGGAGGTGTAGAAACCAAGAGGAGGAAAAAAAGAGGAATCAGTGAAGGACGCTCGTTCTCAAACTACCATATCCTGACCAAACACGACGCCATCAAACAATACATCACGTCTTGCAAGTTTAAGTGAGTTTTGGTCCAAACCAGCTGTAAGCACAAAGAGATGCTTCTGTTTTTATGCATAGTGCTGGGAAACTCCGCCCACAATGAAACCTGATTGGTCCACATGCCTGCATATTAAACAGTAAATTTTATTATCGTTAAAAAAACTAAAACCATAAAAAATCATTACTTGACATGAAGTTAACATGAACTAAAATAAAATATTTCAGCTAGTTGCCATGGCAACTAAACAGACATATAAAAAAAACAATAAAAATGACAAAAACACACAACAAAATCACTCAAACTTTACCTAGAATTAAAATCAAAACAGATAATCTAAAAATAAAACTTAATCCAAAATATTAACAAAAATTACAGTATATCAATGATACTAAAATAACACTGATTCTGAATGGTTGAGATTTTGTCACTTCAGGCAGCATTTTTGCAGCATTAAAACATATAAAAGTTAAAGAATAATTATTAAAAGAAGTAACAAATAAACACCCTTCACACGTCTGAGTTGTTTAAGGAATTACAGTCACTGTTGTTGCTCATTTCAGCCAAAAAAAGCACAAAATGTTATTATTTAACCACAACAGTTAAATAAAATTTTTCTTTCAATAACAAAGAAAAAAGAGGAAAAACTAGAAAAAACAGAAACTAAACAACTGACAAAATAATTCTTATCACGGCTGGTCAGAACAAAAATTATCGCGTCACACCAAAAACAGAGATATTTACAATCTGCAACATAAGATGCAATATTAGTAATATAACATGGATTTAATGTTATATTTTATGATGTGCATTTAGTGCAAAAGCTGTTTGTTAGTTCATGCAGAAATGACAAACAAACATGCCATGTTGACTGTTCATTCATTTTGGTAATTAAACTAAAGCGTGTAAAAGCATGTTCAGAGATGGGTTACTGAGGAGGACAGAATCACTAGAGCAAATGTTTGTCTTTTGGAGCAAGACAGTGAGAAAGCCTGTGATTGGAGTTACAGCAAGGACCAGATGGAATCTGCATTTTCCGTGTCAATTTGTGATGTATTTACATTAATGTTGTAATTACATTAAATTAAACATGATAAAATGTGTTAAATGCAGCTGAAAATATAATTAATAATAATATTCTTAATATAATTTTTTTTATTTTATTTTAGTAAATTATTAATTTTAAAAAAATTATATATATATATGGTGATGTGTAGCAGGGTTATTACTGTTAACTAAAACTCTAAAACTAAAAGTAAAACCATAAAAAACAATTTGTGATGTATTTACATTAATGTTGGAATTACATTAAATTAAACATGATAAAATGTGTTAAATGCAGCCGAGAATAGAATTAATAATAATATTCTTAATATAAAATTGTATTTTTTTATTTTAGTAAATTATTAATATATATTTTTTAAATTATATTTATATATAT